ATGGCTCGTTGTCACTGACACATTGATCTTGCACGATGTTAACTATCTATTTCCAGTAAATTTTCACAGATGGTGCCAAATTATGGATGTTGAAATATGACCTCATAATCAATTGAATCTCGTTGCCTGAGATTCATGGAACAAAGCCGAAGAGCACACTCCAGAAATAGAGAAATCCATAACTCAAAATCATGGAACAAAGCCGAAGAGTCTGTCCCTGTAACTGTTGGTTTGTTGTCGTCTTGTATGCAGATATATTCGGGAGAAGGTAGCTGGATCCTTTTGGAAGGATTATTATAATTTAGTCGAGGCAGCGGCCCATGTGGAGGCCATGATGGTGAACGATAATGGGGTTAAGGAGGAGACCGTTTTGGTAAGTTCTACGGTTCCTAAGCGCTCTAGGCTCAGTAAGGGGTGGAGGCGGAAACATGCTCAGTCAGGGGCTGGTTCCTTTTCTTCATCAGGGGTTTCGGACACTTCGGTTGGAAGGCCCGGGGAGGTGCAGGTTTCAGACCAGTCTCAGAGTAGGGGGTCTGGTGGTTGTTTCGTTTGTGGCCAGCAGGGCCATGGTAGACGTTTTTGCCCTTTGCGTGTGAATTCTGCAAGTGTTTCAAAACCTAGTCAGACTCAGTCGTACCCATCCAGTCGGGGGCGCTATCGGTACCAGAAACAGGTGGGCCAGGCTTCGAGAGCCTCGCGAGGGGCGACTTAGTAGGTAGCCCTATAGTATTACCCTGGAGGGGGGACTTTTGTGTTGTTGACCGGAGTACTGTTGGATGCTGAGGCACCATGTTTATGTATCGCTTATGTACGCATAGTGTTGTTTGTTTAATCCTCAGGTATTGGGGAGTATGTATGGGTTTTAAGCTTTCTTTTATATTGAGAAGTTGTTAATGTGGTCAATGATCCTAACGTTGTTGCTTGCTTGGTACTGTATGATGAGTTAGTTGTGTGACGGCCTGTGTGCCTTAATCACTTTAATGATTATTTGTTGAGGACGGGAATCCGTGGGAATATGTGTTAGATGTGGTGGTTTTGAGAGTTACGGGATGTTGGCAAGGTTATGTGTGAATGTTCGTAGGAATGTGAGATTTATATCTCAAGTTAGCGAGAATGGTACCTGTTTGTTGGTCCGTGTTTTGGGCTTTGCTAGTTAGCGAATCCGTGGTGACCCGATCGGTTGTATAGGGGTAGTGTTCGTGTTGGGATTGGTTATCAAATGTTGGGTACGGTTGTGAGTGGAGGCTGGCAGCATTCTTTGGAGGAAAAACAATTTGTGTTCTAGTAACGAGAATAGCGTTGGCTGAATTATCCTTTGTGATTGGGTAGTCGTAATTAGAGTTGACCTTGTCGGTCTTCGGTTGAGGAGATGAACAAACTTGCTATCTAACCATGGAGGGTGGTAATTCCTTTAGAAACGGTGTTGATGTGGTTCAATTTTAGGAGATCCGTTGAGATTCCGAAATTTGGGGGTTTGTGTGGGGAACTCCGTGTTTGGGGTTAGTGGCACTTCAGTATGTGGTTTACTAAGAGTGGTGGTTTGTTGAGTTGTTTAGTCAGCTTGTTGGTATCGGGTTTTGGGTCGACATCGGTCACCTTGAAGTTAGTCTCATTTGTTGTAGACTTTGTATGTTGATTAAGGAAAACTGAAACTAATCGAACATGTTATGTCATTGAATCTGACGATGAATTGAATACATTAATTCTTTGTATTGATTGATTGTGTATAGAACCCTTGTGTTTATATGCATTGCTTGTGTATGGGAGGAGATGGGGGATGTACACCACGGTTTAGGGGAAAATGGGGGATGTACCTCTAAACCGGTTAATGGTTAAGGGATAATGGGGGATGGACCCAGGGATGCAGCTCATATGCTCACCCATTGTAGTATTGGATACAGCTCATATGCTTATCTATTGGAATGTTGATATAGCTCATATGCTTATCCATTGGAATGTTGATATAGCTCATATGCTTATCTTTGAAAGTGTGACATAGTTTTTATACTTTTGTGTTGATAGTACTGTTGTTATTTCTATTAACTATCATTATAGAAATGTTATGTTCTATGTTGGTTGTGGTATCACTGTGTGCGTGATGGTTGTTGATAGCGTTATTTCATAAAGAAATGGAAAACAAAACTTTTCTAGTGTTTGGGTCGCCTAAGGGTGTGGTTGAGAAATTGATTTAATTCAAGGGTTTTGAAGAATTTCAAATGAATGATTTTTGGCAAATAAACGGTGGATGATTGTGTTTTGGATAACACCGTGCTGGTGAAAAATGTATACAAAGTTTTTGAGTTTCGCATGGAAAATGCAAAGTTTATTTCGAAATGTCAGCATTGAAAATTTGACTATCTTTAAGAAATGTCTCTTGAGCAAGAAAATGTTTTCTTATTATTTACTCAAAAAGTTGTTTGGGTCGTGTTGTTGCATAATGACTTAGCTTGAAGCGCTGGTCAGATATGAGTAAACTGTTTCAGAAGGGTTGATTTTGTTGTGGCTTTTATGCCTACAGTGTTGTCATTTGGAACGTGTTCCCTCGGTTAGTCTCTTCCTTGGCAAGAGTGGATTAAAGGTTTGTAGTGAGAGTAGTTTCTTTCCCAGTACTCGGGTGTTGGTGTTGTGTGATCGGTTGGCCTTGTGTTTTGGCGTATCCTTAATTTCGAAGACGAAATTCTTTAAGGGGGGGAGGTTATAGTGATCCCGGTATTCCCTGTTATTGTTTAACTGTAATCCGGACTTGGTTCCGTAGATTTGTTGTTGTCTTATCCTCTTTTCTATCCCTTACTCTTTATCTTAGAGTTTTGGGTTGTGTTGGACTTGTTGGGAATAAGTTAGTGATGTTTTAAAACTTAGAATCTTTGCCCAGTTTTTGGCCTCTCCGCTCGAGCGGGGGTTTCGGTGCTCGAGCAGGAAAATCACCTTCCCTGTACTTCCTCTGTAGTGTTGGACGCTCGAGCATGAGGTTTGACGCTCGAGCGGGAGTTTGAGTGTGACGCTCGAGCGGGGAGTTGGACGCTCGAGCGGGGACCTGTTCTGCAAAACTTCTGGATGGTGGTATCCGCTGCTCGAGCGGGGGGGTTTTGGCGCTCGAGCGGGAATCTGTGAGTGACGCTCGAGCGGGGAGTTCGACGCTCGAGCGGGGTATGCAAATGCAATGCTCAATCAATACACGTATTTTCTGTATCAATGCAATAGTCAAAATTAATGACTTAACCAATGTGATTAGTTTCAGCCGAGATCCGACCTTTTTGATCACTTTTTGATTTCCTTTCTCTCTCTTACTTTTTCAAATCCTCCATTGGAGAGCACCTCACTCTAAAACCTAACTTCTCTCTTAGGATTGATCTAGCTAGAGTGTTTTCCTCACCTTGGGCCTTTGTAAGAAGTGTGTTGATCGTCGAGGGCTTCGTTGTGATCCAAGAAATTTGGGATTTGGAGCACTTTGATTTCGGGTCATCTTCTCCTTTTGAGTTCTCCATTTGAGGTAGGGATTCTCCTTGTTCTTTTTCAATACTCCGTCTATAGATAGACATGTGGTAATTTTTGTATTGCATGAAAATTGTATCATGTTGGATTTGTTTGAAAATCATGAAATAAACCTAGGGTTGGTTGTGTAGAGAATGGGTTGGCTTCATTGATTGTTGTCTTGGGTAAAATAAATATAAATTAGCATGTTGTAGTTAATAGAAGAAAAGCCCTAAATTATGTTTTGGTTGGGTAAATTATAATGGGGGTTTGTTGACTATTGTGTGTAAATCTCTTTTGTCAAAATGAGTGTGGTAAGGGTGTTAATGCCTAAGGGATTATCCATGGCTTTGGAGTTGATTTTATGGAAACAAGATTAGTGGAGTTGGTTTTGTGATAACAAAAAGGAAACGGAACCGTTTTTGTGAAAATAAGGGAAGTATTTTCGAAATAAGTTTGAGAATTGGATTGTTGTGTCTTGAGTGTTGAACACACATGTAGAAGTTGTTTCTTTAACTACCATGTTAATATTGTTGTTGGGTTTGTGATTCATGATATTTGAGTCTTTTAATAGATGTACTAACTATATGCATCTAGAGGTTTTGTCCTTGGTCATCGGTGGAGGATGACACGGTTGTGTAGAATTGTCGGGTTTGCATTTTGCCATTGATTTATTGAACATCGTATGTGATGAAGTGCTAGATACATTATATATATGTATATTTGCTCAGAAGGAGATGGTCATGTGTTCTTATGCTTTAACACATTGCTGGTGTCTTGATAGTTTATGTATATGCATTATACATGTTGGTTATGCCTTGATGTGCTGTGATTGTTGGTGTTGTGCCCCGTGCTGAGAATCAAAGGTACCATACCCCTCCAGCTAGCGCCTGGTAAACTGGCTTGCTGCGCTAATAATCGAAGGTACCATAACCCTCCAGCTAGCGCCTGGTAAACTGGCTTGTTGATTAATGTTGTTGAGTGGGGTGTATTGTTGGCTTACTACGCACATAGCTAGTAGAGTGAAATGGGATTGTTGTTGTTTCGTTGTAACTGAAAATATCATGGATTTTGATTGGTTACAGTTCGGAGGACCGAGTTACTCCATTGGTTGATTGTATACATGTTGGTGGGTTGTAAATTTATATTTTTACAAAGATATGCATGTATAGTTATGATAGTAATGGAAACGAACCAAAAGGTCTTTTGTCTTTTGAAAAGTGTGGAGGAGAACGTATGTTTTAACGATTAACATGTTTGAAAAGGTACATTTGAGTATGTATAGGAAATGGAAGAGAGTATCGGGCTTAGTGTGATTACTTCCTAAGTATTTGTTAATGTTATGATAGATTGGGAACAGGGGTTAATGAAAGGAAAAAAGGAAAGACAAACCACTTGTAGCGTTGAATGAAACGGTTGTTTTCGAGAAAAGTTCATACATATATATTTTGTATAAACTGTCACATTACTATTCTAGTATGAGAATGAGTGTTCATGATCATAACTATCTTTAAGTTGTTATTGTTGAGGATCAAGTTGAGTTCTCTACTGGACTATATGTTCATCCCACGTTGTTGAATCTTTTTCAGGTGTTAAGCAGGTTGAGTTGTAAGATTTGGTTCTACTTATTTACTGGCCACAGGGCCTCAGTTATGTTGGCGAAATGCCATTGTTGTAAAAGGGTTGCACCCTTCTTCTTGTACCTTAAGTGATGTAAGCCCAAGGGCAATTTATTAAGTATGTTCATGTAATATTTACTTGGCATACGAATGAGAGTATTGTTAATCACTTCTACGGATTGAATGTATAAGTATATTTCCGCTTTTTATTCTTGAAATTGAATTAAGTTAATGAATTTAGTAATGACTTCGAGTAATAAAAAGTGGGACGTGACATCTTGCCTTGAAAGTCTCTTGTGCTAGAGGACTCTAAACTTTTGTAGCACCCTTATTTGAGATGCCTCTCTTGCTTCGTCTTGTTTTGCCACGGACGGTTTACCGCGTGGATACGTTTGCCGGAATATTATTATTTGTAATATGTGATGCCAGTAAGTGTCCCTTGAAACTTTGAAGATCTGTTAGATGGACGAGGTCCATTCCTTGTTTTATGTAAAGTTTTGTCTTGTATTGTTTTGAAAGGACCTCAGCTATTATTCATGCAAACCCCTTTATTATTTATACCATTCAATGAGTATCCAAGTTC